GAGTGTTTTGTTCTGCGAACATTAACCTGTTGCTGCCCACGTAACATATATGTGCAATGGTATAAGGGTGGGCTTTAGCCCCACATGCCACACATATGCGTCACTGGGCATCTGATGTTTCTGTTCTTATTGTATGCTCTCAGCACAGAGACCAAGCTGTCAATGACAGCTCTCAGTCTCCTCCAACAATCAGTACCTGGAGGGACTGAATCCCAATCATTGATCCTTCCTATCCCCTGGGCATTCATAACTTCTTAAAGGGATTCCAAGGTGGATAGGCGGGAGTTAAAGTGTCATATCTCCCAACTTTCAAAGTTGAAAAAATGGATAATTTTTAAAGGGGCAGAACGTGGCCTGCATAGCACACTGTGGCGAAAGGGGCGTGGTCAGTGCAAAGTGGGTGTGTCCATATGGTTGTGGTTTACAAATATTCTGCAACAGCTTTGATAAGAATCCTACCTGGCACTGGAAGGTTTATCATAATTAGGACAGGAACACATTCAGGATAGCAATGTTCATTAAAGTGGTTGTAAAGGCTCAAGGTTTTTTACCTTCATACATTCTATGCATAGAAGTAAAAAAAAACCTTCTGTGTACAGCAGCCCTCCAGCCCCCACCCCCAAAACTTACCTGAGCTCCCTCTGAATCCTGCAATCCAGAGAGACCATTGGCTCTCCTGGGTCTCTCCCTCCTCATTGGCTGAGACGGCAGCTTCCGCTGCTGTCAATCACAGCCAGTAAACCAATGAAGAGGGAATGGTGGCGGGACCGAGCCGCTCTCACGTGTGAATGGACACACAGAGCAGTGGCTCGGGAGCGAACCTGCTCAGATGCCATAATAGTAAGCTGCTTGCTACTGGGGCACTAGGCAGAAGGAAGGGAGCTGGAGTGCTGGTGGGGGACCCAAGAAGAAGAGGATCGGGACTGCTCTGTGCAAAACCACTGCACAAAGCAGGTATGATATGTTTCCCTCAAGAGTTGGTTCTGGCCAGCTCAGTAGATTGCTTTAAAAAAGGCCTGGATTATTTCATAGATACACAGAATATAACTGGATACTAACACTTATAGGTAAAGTTGATCCAGGGAATATCCAATTGCCTCTCGGGGGATCAGGAAGGATTTTTTTCTCCTGCAGGAGCAAATTGGATCATACTTTGTTGGGGTTTTTTTTTTGCCTTCCTCTGGATCAACTGTGGGTATAGAATTATAATTTTTTTAAAAATCATTTTGAAAAACACCCCTTGACATTTATAGGAGTGGTCCATCTTGAGTAAGGGCAGATGATTCATGTAACATTTACTTCCTGGAATTCATCTGCCCTTAGCTCCCTCCCCTCCTGAAGACTGCTGGGATGTATGATGTCCTTTGCCTAGGAATGGAAACCAGGAAGTAACCTAAGTAATGTAAACAAACAAAAAAAGTAAAACTAGTAAATATGCTATATAGTCCCACAATGCCTTTGGGAAGTTGTAGAGGTGAACCAATGAGGGCTGAGAGTCAGCAGCCCCGCCCACTCACATGGTAGAAGCAGGGTGCTATTAAGCTTTTCAAAATATACCTTGCCTATCCAGAGAGAGAGAATTCGATAGACTGATCTAATATGGTGAAACAGAGAGAGCAGCTGGCAGAAGTCATATTAAGTCATGCCCTGGAGATCCTCTTCTTGTTGACGGTGGAGGGCTCCTTGTGAGCTTTAAACACCCACAGAACAGCTGTACCAAGTGTGGCAGTGGATATCGGACAGTGAGTGGCACCTGACCAGACCAGACCATAAAGGGACCTCCAGTTTTCTGAGATTGGTATTTCTCAATGCGCAGTTTGATTGCGGATCTGGTGAGTGCGCAAGCCTATTATATGAATCACATCACCATAATACCGGATCAGATCACTGGATTTTGAAGATCATCACGATCTTTCATGCACCTTAACTGTGGACTGTTGTTTGGTTAATACGTCTGGCTTTGCACTTTATTGGTCACCATCAAGTGACACAGCTATCACTTTGTATTGCACTTTATCTAGATACAAGCACTCTGTCACTGGATTTCATGCTCTTCTATGATGCATTTTTATGATGCGTATATGTAATAATTATTTAGGAAACTGACATGTTTTCATATCACTAAGTCACTTTATTTTAGTGTGCTTTTGTTATAACTGCAAATATTTGTCTTTTAGTCATTTACATTGATATTTTAGCGCTACACCCTGCTTTTACTTTTACTGTGATATATAGTACATTCCTATCCATTTGCTAATGCTAGCAGCATGAGGATTAAAAATAGTCATTGTTGATTGAGAGAGTGAAGTTCCAAGAGTATGTATGTATCTATCTATCTTAGTTCCATCCTTACTGATTCATTACAGTTTGTCTATGTTTTTGTCTAAAGCTTTAAGACTTCTGGCACCTAATCTATCTTGAGGAGAATGTTGTTCTTGTGCTGTCTGTGTTTTTATTTAAAATAAAACGTCCTAAATGAAGTAGTCCTAATATCTAAATGTGTTTCCTTGACAGTCATGATCCATCATAAATTGCTTTCACATTGCATTAGTTATCCAGTATTTTTGTCCTGACATGTTAACCCCTTCACGCCGGCGCCCCCCGGGTTTCTGCCGCCGGGGGGGGGGCTTGGTTTAGGGTCATTTGACTGCCGTGATTGGCAGTCACTTGATCAGAAAGGTCCCGATTGCAAGAAGAGATCGGGACCTTTGCGTGGGACACCGACACATGTGCTGGGAGCACGCAGGGCCCACGCTCTCAGCACATGTTTGTTTACAAATGGTACGCAAATATGCGGCTGCTCGGCATCAAGGCCCAGCCGCTGAGAGACCACATATTTGCGTACCGTCGGCATGAAGAGGCTAATGTTAGTTTCCTCTCCATCTTTCTATCCATCTATTCATCAGTTCATCCATCCATCCATTCATCTATCCTTTGATATCATGGTTGAGAAATCTCTGCCATTCAGCTATACACTGCAGAGAAGACAGTAACTTCAAATTCCATACAGCTCAGAGCTATGCGTCTCCCATAATTATTGGTGACAAAGCATGTGACGGAGAAAAATGGAGGTCTCCAGGCGTGTATAATATTTAACACACAAAGCAGAAGTGTGACTGACAAAGCAGGTACCAATGTGTCAGCCCAGCGTGATAGAAAATGTAAAATTATATCTACAAGGAATTCGGTAATAAAGCTTTTCCCAGAATAATGACAGCTCTATGGCGGCTGCCAACATTTCAATACGTTTTCCAGACACACTGTGCTACTGAGCAGGTGCCCTGCATGCAATGCAATGTACATCGACTCGGGTAAGGGCGCCATTATACAGCTAGAAGATAAACAGACATTAACCATTTGCCCTCCTCAGGATTTACCCCCTTTCCTGACCAGGCAGTATTGTCACACTACACATAGACACATAAATGCATGCATTAGTTATTTTATAAAAGTAATGATAAAGGTTCATATTTTATTTGTTTTTTTGCTTTTTAACCACTTGTCCTCCTGAGGATTTACCCAATTACCCCCCCCCCCCCCCCCCGACCAGGCCATTTTTTTGCATTACGGCGCTGCGAAATTTGTGTCCTTTTTTTCCACAAATTAAGCTTTCTTTTGGTGGTATTTGATCGCCTGTGAGTTTTTATTTTGTGCGCTATAAAAAAAAAGACCGACAATTTTGAGAAAAAAAGCAATATTTTTGACTTTTTGCTATTAAACATGTCAAGTAAAAAAATTTAAAAAAAAATCAAATTTCGTCATAAATTTGGGCCAAAATGCATTCTGCTACATGTCTTTGCTAATACGAGTAAATTAATTGGTTTATGTGAAAGTTATAGCGTTTACAAATGGCAGTATAGATACTGGGATTTTTTTTTATTTTTTATTTTTACTAGTAATGGCATCGATCAGCGACTTATAAAGAACAAAGGTATACCGCTCAGACAAACAATCCAGATCAATCCATAACAGGTGCAGGCTCTGGCTCGCCACCACACACGATGCAATAGGAAGAAGGGTCAGCCGCACACCGGAGGATAGATGCATATAGTGTGTATTTATTAATCCATAGGACACACAAAACACCAGGACATGAATACAGGACCTGTATTCATGTCCTGGTGTTTTGTGTGTCCTATGGATTAATAAATACACACTATATTCATCTATCCTCCAGTGTGCGGCTGACCCTTCATCCTATTTGATCAGCGACTTATAGCGGGACTGCGGCAGACATTCTGACACCGGTGGGAACTGACTTGGTGACACTGACATCCTCAGTGACACCAATACAGTGATCAGTGCTAAAAAAAAGCACTGGCAATGTACTAATGGCACTGGGCAGGAAGGGTTTAACAACTGGGTGCTCAAAGGGTTAACTATGTGCTGGGAGTGTTTTATTAGGGGGCGGTGTCAGTGTGCTTCACTGTAATCACACTGCTTTGCATGGCTGTGCTGTGCATAACCATCCAAAGTAGTGTGCCCAAGCTGACAGGAAGTAGAACTGTTAGTAAATAAAACAGTCCTCCTCCCTGTAGGAGATCCTTAGAAATCACCAGGTGCCGGCAAGTAATCACTGGTCGGGACCAGTTGATTGACAGCTGCAGCCACGAATGGCAGTGTGGGTAGGCTCATGTGCGCCCCCTGCCTGGATATATCACACATATATATATATATATAAAAAAAATATATATGTGATTTTGCGCACCCGTGCTGCCCTGTAGCAGTATTAACGTGAGTTGTGAAGTGATTCCATATCTGAGCATGGGAAGTTCATACAGATACATACATATCAATATATGCATAAAAGCATGACAATGTGACAAATGTTCTCCAGATGACTATAGTACATATATTTAGGTAAGGACATGGAATGCAAGTCATAGATTTGATCCTACTCTGTAGATGTTCCGTGTTTGTGACCTCTCCCAACCTTCTCTAATAAAATTATGATCAAATAGACATCATAATAATATAACTTTCCTTGTTCTTTCTTTCAGCCAAAAACAGTAGCAAGAAGACAGAGAAAAACAAGAAAGCTTCGGAGAAGTTTGTTTATGGAATGAATGAGGAGAAGATAGTGCAAGATGTCAGAGAAAGTGCGTGAGAATGTTTTTCTGTTTCCTAACTCGGCAGTGTGCGTAATGTGTTATCTATGGAGCTGTTTAGAGGTGCAGAGAGAGGGGAAACATCTTCCATTGGTATCCTTCTTATGATCTGCCTTTGGGATTAATCAACTCAGCCTAGCCAACCTGCAGGTGCATATGTCATGATACAGCAGAATATTGGTTCAAAAACAAGAAAATCAAGAAAACAAGTTCTGCCAATCTGAAAGATTTTCAGGCATTTTGTATATCAAACCTCCGGAGTACCATTAAAGTGTAGCAATGGCCAAATTGCAAAATCATATATTCATTTCCACATTTTATTTTAATTTCTTGCCTACTCCTGTTAACCTGAATGATATTGTAATGAGAAAACTCACTTTGGGAAGATTCGCACACATTTACTTGTTTGAATTCCATGACATGGGGGTAGATTTACTAAAACTGGTGCACTAAGAATCTGGTGCAGCTGTGTATGGTAACCAATCAGCTTCTATCTTCAGCTTGTTCAGTTAAACTTTGGCAATAAAACCTGAAAGTTAATTGGTTTCTGTGCAGAACTGTACCAGATTTCACACTCTCTAGTTTTAGTAAATAATCCTCATTATCTTGTAAAATCAGTGGTGGCATCTTCACTGTGCTGTTCATAGCCTGTGCAGAGAGCAGAGCTGTGGGAGGGACCCAGTAGGCCACACGTGTAGGCAGGTGCAGTCTGTTTTCTCCACTATAGGTTGCGCTCGACCCAAGTGGTACCACAACTTGGAGTGGAATTCAGGAAAAACCTGGTTTCTCTATGGTTTCCTGGTCCCTGAAGGCAGCATTCTGATTGGCTGTGCTGCATCCAGGTGACCTCTGGCATCCATCTTGGGTCAGCAGAGGCTTTATAAGTTCCTACCCCCATATTTTGACTCACTTTTGCTTAGTGGTTAGAGTAGGGAAAGAGCACCAATCTGTGAAGGAAGGTAATAGCGGCAGGGAAAGGTTCCTAATGAGCATGGGTAGGCTAGGGACTCACAATCCTATACAGAAGCCTCCCCTTTTGAGACTGGACTGGCCAGGCCGCATTCCGCCCTCTGAAGACAGACATTGTTGGTGCACCTTTACCCGCTGCCTCTCTGCATTGAACTGAACTGTGAATGTTACCCTTAGTGGTGCTCTTCTGCTGGGGTTGTCTTTAGTTGTCATTTTCTGCAATACAAGTTCCAAGGCTACCTGCAACTGGGATTTGTGTCTTCATTGCCGGCGCACCAAGCTGCACCTACTCACACACCCACTACAGGCTGCCTATAGGAAACTACTACCCCCCCTCCCGCATGCCTGGATAGGAAGATCCACGGGGAGGCTGCATATAGAGGAAGCAATCTCTCCATGTTCCTCCTGCAGCCACTGAATGCCTGTGGGGGGGAGATGAGGAGAAGCCAGCATTCAACGGCTGCAGGAGGAACATGCTTTCTGGCTCACCCTGCGCTCTTCTCCCCCCCCCCCTGTGCTCTGCAGCCCTCCTGTGCTCTTTCCTGGCCCCTTGTGCTCTCTCCTGACCCCCCCTTGTCCCCCACAGCTCTGCCAAGTTCCCCTCTCCTGCCAGGAGCAGGGATGATGGGGGTGACACATTTACCGACCCCTTCCTTATCTGAATATAGAGTCAGTGATCCATACCAATCCTATCTATTCGCTCTGTCAGCTGAGGCTGAAGAGGTGTAGACTGATGGCTGTGTCCTCAATCTCCTTCCTCTATCTCAAAGGTGAAACATCAGAGGTCGGTTTAGACCCCTGATATCTCACCAAAGCCCCTATGTGGGGTTCCTAAAATGTTTTTTAAAATAATAAAAAAAAATGGTAATTTTTTTCTTTTTTTAAATGGTAAAAAAATTATATAACAAAAATAAAAAAAAATTACTGACACCAGTGCCACAAAGATCGCACTTGCGACCGAGCCCTGGCATTCTGCCATCGGGCTTGGAGGGAAGTGGGGGGGAGTGCCCCTGCTGAGGATCAGGGGGCTCTTCATGGTTTCTTGCACTGGGGCCCTGAAGGTTCTAGTTACACCACTGGATCTAAGAAACCTAACTCACACTCATACACATATTAGGGCCAATTTAGACAGGAGTCCACTAACCTTTAAGCATGTCTTTGGAGTGTGGAAGGGGACCCACACTAGGAGAACATGCAAACTCCATATAGGTTGGGTCATTGTTGGAATTTGAACCAATGACCCTAGTGCTGCCAGGCAGAAGTGCTAACCACTAAGCCACTGTTTCACTGTTTGAAGGACTTTGACTGGCATGCAACATTAAAAAATGTGCAGTCACAGTAATCTGATGAAAAAGACGTCTTTCTATATGTGAATGTCTATTGAAGCTGCTTTGCTGGGATACGTAATACTTAGCACAGTGCTAAAACTTCATGAATCTAAGATGCTAAAGCAGATGAGAATATTAACGCTTCTGAACTATGAGATACTTCAAAGTCATTCTTCCCTTTCATGCTCTAGCTGGGTATGTAATGCTTTGGCGGAGGGGACAACTAATGGCCCTGTCATCTCATTAATCTCCCACAAGATCTCTCTTTGCTTATCAATTCCAACGCCTTTATAAATACTTATTCTGTTTCTGGCTGCAGAGTGGACTTCAAGTTTATGTTAGGTTGAAGCTGAGATCAGCTCATGTGCAAATGGAAAATGTTACCATTTCTTAAGAGACGTCGGCTGCCTTATGCAACATGAATGAGCCTGACGGCTGATCTCTGTGCTAGGGCTTTCCAGCACTGCCGGGGGCTTTTCCTAATAAAATTGTGGCTTTCCGTTCATTATATGTGGCTTTATAATAAGCCAGAATGCTGCAGGAAGACAATGAATCTTTCATACCTGCTATGGAAAAATATATATTAATGCCATATTTTACACTTGCCACCGCAGGAAGTGTACCAGTACATCAAGCATCTACTGTAATTTGGGGTTCCTATAGAGAATGTTTCTGAAATGGCAATGCTTAAGGGAAATATCTTTAAATTTTCAATAATTATACCCAGTTATTGAATCCCATCAGAAGTTCAGAAATACAATTTTAATTTATAAGCCATTTTTTTCTTTGAATTAAAAATAATGAGTACACATTTGTTTCAGAAAATAAGAATTAACAGCAATGTTGATTTCATGTTTGGGTGACTTGATCCCATACCAGCTGAAGTGGACCTATTATTTAAAATTACACTTTGTGTAAATCTAAAGATCACATCTGTGCCAGGTGCATAGTGGGTGTTTGATATTATTAGAGATTGCAGCAGCTCTATTTTTTTCAGTCTAACAGCTACAAACAGCATGTCTTCTGCCATGTGTCTACATATTGAAATATGTAAAGACATAGGAGAAGGAAGAGGCTGCAATCTTTTCTGATATTTTATGAAAGTAGTCCCCTCCTGGCATCTCTTATGCTCATTAACCATCTCTGCTAGCCTAATATGAACTAGGTTAGGGAGCATATACCTATAAAAGGATGCTAATTATGGTTTTTGACATACTTCCCAAGGTAGAAATACATGTGCATATAGGCAACTTTATTTGAGAAAAAGGAGAACATTTGGACTGGAAGGTTCTTTTAATAACATGAGTACAACTGCAGAACTGCAATACTAGCTTACAAAATCAATATATAAATTGCTGCTTATCTGTAGTAACTGGGCTGTATCTCTTTGTCTTAAAAGCAGGTTGTCCCCCTCTGGGGTTGGAGACCCTAAAGGTAACAGACTTTCAACTACATGCGTCTACAGTGAAACGTTATGGTCTTGGAGCTCATAGGGGACGCCTCAATATCCAGGTACATTTCCATTTTTATCGTTTTTTGGGATAATACAGCTTTTTTTCTTTAGTGGGATGGAATGCACACTGGAATATGTAGTCTTATATAGGTTTATCTCTTTCTCTCTGGTACCATGATGTGGTCGAAAAAGTATGATTTGGCTATTACGGCGGTGCTGTTGTCTTCTTTTCATTGTGATAGTGCCCACTTTAGAAGATCTCAGAATTTGATGACCTGGTAAACAGACTTTCATGCATCACAATTAGAACTTTTGTAGCTCATTTCAAATTGAAGAAGTTATGTCATTCCTCGACTTATATGAAGTGCTGGAATGCTTGCATGTATGTACATGTAGCAATATCACTGAGATCTGTGGTCTGGCAAATGGGGATCGTTACAGACATTTAGAAACAACTGGACCACTATGTAGTTACATGGTTAGTCAGGTTGAACAAAGACACAAGTTCCACTAGTACAACCAATAGAATAGATAACTAGAACCTCCATACACACTCCATAAGTGTAACCTCTGCATGCACAATCCTATATCCACAGCTGATCAAAAGGAAGGAAAAAGAAACTTATAAAGTATGGTCCTTCCTGACTTTATAAAGCATGCTTTTCTGGACCTCCTGAACCTGGATCCATAGGGCTATTTGAAGGCTTTCCAGGGCTAGAATCGGTCTTGAGTCCGGTGGAACACCCGGACTTGTAAGCTCAGAGCAGCTACCTCTTTTGCCCATATGAGAGTGTGTATATCTTGAGTTAAGTAACTTTTTTAATCAGACAAAATTCAGGGTACAAACATACATGAGGATGAACATACGCGTACGTCCCAGATTCGGGCTTCCTCGGTAGGCCTACTGAGGAAGCCCGAATCTGGGGCGTAATGCAATATAGGTGGAAGAAACTGAGCCCTGGACATTTTGAATTGATGACCATCCGGGGTGGTGAGCCATGTAACGAAATATACGTACATTATATGCTCTGTTGTTTCTTACATCTTGTAGGTGTTTTTAATCTGGGCACTAATAAATCGTTTATAAATAGAGAGCACTATGGTTCCACTTTTCTGTTTTCCGTAATACATATTATATGAGAGTGTCAGTCAGAGGAGTGTATACTGTGGTGGTAGCGGGAGAAAAGCTGGAGGAAGACCACAGAGGGTGTACACAAGTTTGTTCATGTTGAGTGCATAATGACCTATAGATGAGGTTATAAAGTGAAGTGAGCAGGTTTTTCACCTAGTGGTGGTAGCACGGTTTGCACTGAAGAAGAGAGATTTATTTTGTACACATTGCACAGTGGTGTTCTAAGAGACTTTTTAATGGGACTTTTATTTTTGTTTATGATTAATTTTTATATGAGGTGTTACTTTGTTGTGCTACACTATATTGTGAGTCATAACATTCCAAAATATAGCGCACATTCAAGGAGAACCATGCATAAAAAAGATATCATAACTGTGCTATGGCTAGACAACGTATACAGTACCAAATAATACAATACAAACCAATGTACAAGAATAGGAAGTAGGATAAAGAACCCACTTATATGTTGCCAAAAACAGGTCAGGATAAAGAAAGTAAAAAGAAGGGGAGTATGAGGTGTACGAAAAGCGCTCGAAAGGGACCACACAAGCCCATGCAGGACCACAGAAAGAATGGGCATACTACCCCACAACCAGAGGGGAGTGTGTATATATTAAGGGATGCCAGTGATGTTCCATTAGATACAACCATATGAATTAATCCCCATGTCTGTCAGAGTAATAGGAAATTTAAACTGGAAGCGCTTTGATGAACACAGTACAGCTCTCAAAAGACTGATCCCTCTCTAATAAATGTGTGATAGATGCACAGTTGCTTCAGTATTGAAAAAACACTTTGCTGTGCTTTTCAGACACACTAAAGCTGACCATACATTTGCCAATTTGATAAAGCAAACTTTTTCATTTTTTGTTGAAATTGCAAAGCAGTTGAAGGCAGAAAATGGTGGTTGTGGCCAATTGCAAGGATCAAAATGGCTCCAAATGTACATGGCTGAAAAATTCAATCATGTTTTCAGAAATTGCCTTAGTTTTTTTTCTCATTTCAATTCCATTTCATTTGATCTTTCAATAAACTGTATAGAAGCTGTCAGTTCTTTTCCCAGTTTCGACATCACAATCATCTAAATTCTGGAGCTCAGTCCAACTCACGGGTTGTAGAATGTTTTGTTTCTGGTGATTGCAATCATATTTGTGATAACTAGTCGTTCAAAGGTTGAAATTAACTGAAAATTGCAATATGTATGACCAACCTAAAAGTGGCCAGAGATGTCATCCTAAGAATCATAAGATATCTGAATGTTGTCATTTGTTCTGGGACGTGCTGTAGTTCACCTTCACAATTTACCTGTTGGATAAATCCATCCAGTCCATCATACAGACTTCTTCTAAAAGAATGGAGAATCTCTTTGTACCTGATTGATGCAATGTTAATTATTGCCCCCTTGGGGTTGCATTGAACAGTCCTCATCCATGCATTGCATTGGGCTGTGGAATTAGGTGTGGGACAGGTCCATTTTTGCCTGCCTTAGACCAGCCATAGACAGTTAGTAATTAAAAACCCAAAAGACCACCCAAACGTCTCCAAACCGTTTTCTATGTACCAGTGACAACTGCCCTTGTTTTGTTATAAAAGTAGAATGCGTTCACTGAGTGTGAAGTGACAGTACTGACTACAAGAATGTTTCCAGCACATGGCACAATTTCTTTGTTTGACCCAGTAGGGGTTATTTACTAAAACTGGATGCAGCAAAATCTGGTGCAACTCTGCATAGAAACCAATCGGTTTTCAGGTTTTATTGCCAAAGCTTAATTGAACAAGCTGAAGCTAGTTGCTGATTGGCTACCATGTACAGCTGCACCAGATTCTGAGTGCAGCAGTTTTAGTAAATCTGCCCCAATGGTTTTTTTTATAATCTCTTTTTTATTGAAAATGATTTTCAAAACACAATACAAGGAGCACAAGAGAGAAACAAAGTTGGAGTAAAAACAGACCTGTTGTAACCATACATCCTCATGCCATGTAACCACCTGTCCGCCATCAGAGCAGTAGGTACAGGCATATTATATACCACATAAGGGCCCAGTAGCCATGCAGGAGCTATGTCTCTGCACATGAATCTGCTCCAGTGTTTTTGAGCTCAGCAATTGTCTCTCAGCTGTCCCTGGTTACCATGGACTATCTGAGGATTTGAAGATTTGTCCCTTGAAAATTCTGTCCCAGAGAATAACCATAATTTTATTTCCTGGCCAGCTCTACCATAAAATTCATCTATTGTGCTTGTTATGTTCAATTCTCATCATCATGTTTTTTTGGCTTCTTACATTAATTCCTAATAAGAGCAGCATGAAAAAGCAAAAATAATTGTTCACTTTCCAGTAAAATAAACATGTCTTTGTTTAATATATAGTGATTTGCCGTCTTCCAAGAAGCTCTAATACACAGCTCAGCTACAAAGTGCTCCGAGTAATTATTTCTAAATGTTGACAGCTAAGTCATTGCTAATAAAGCTGGAAACTGTTTCAAACCTTACAGACTGCCATCCTGTGTATGGTTAATTTTATGCTGTCTACATGTAAAGATTTGGCCACCCAATCTGTATTAGGGTAGGTTCACACTATAGCAGAGAACTGCGTTTTTTCTGTGCCCTTTGCAAGGGCACATAGAAAACAATGGTTTTCTGTGTTTCCCATTCACACTTTCACGCCCATAGCGATGCTGAAAAAGGCAGACATGTTGCATTTTTTCGCTCTGCTCCGCAGATGTCTGTGTGTCCCTGCTTTTCTAAGTTCAACAGTTGAGCTGCTGTACATAGAAATGCATAGAATGTCACTTTGTGACATTCCATAAAAGTTTAAGAAAAAAAGGGGGAAAACAGTGCCTTGCGTGGTAAAAATTCAAGGTACAGCCCCCGTTACCCCACTGCAATCACTACCCAGAGAGAAAGACTGAATGTTTTACTCTCCTGGTAGTGTGAACCTGCCCTTAGGCTTGATCTATATTGCTTCTATCTTGTGTATGGCCACATCTGTTCATTGTAATTGTTTGCTGTCCCTGCTAAACCTCAGGATTGTTTGAAGAACAAAAGAAAGTACTGATGATTTTATTGCATTAGCAGATGTTCTACTTTCTCTGATAAATATTAAATTGAGAACATACTTAGACCCAAAATGTCCTTTTTTTGCCCTTAGTAATCAGATTTTGCATGATCATCGTCATCAAGTTTTCAGCAATTAGTTCTAAATGTTGAATGCTAATGCAATAAAGCTAGCGATCATATTATGCACAAGGATCATTTTTTTAAAATCAGAAATTCATCTTATTGAATAGGATATGGGTTAAATGGAATGATGTGCATTGAATGAAAGCACTTTTTTGTCTTAGGTTGGCCTTGGTATTGGTACAATATTTGCTGTGATAATAAGTTTGAACACTACTAAATCAAAATCTGCTCCTTTTGCACAGGCAGGGGTAAATGAGAATGATCTGTACGATGGTGCTTGGTGTGCTGGGAGAAATGATCTGCAGCAGTGGCTAGAAATAGACGCTCGAAGACTTACCAAATTTACAGGGGTCATTACTCAAGGCCGGAACTCGCTGTGGCTGTGAGTATGCAATTCTCTTCATCTATAAGTGCACAGAATGTATCAAACTAGATAATTCTCCTACATCAAACACCAGTTTCTATGGCTACCATGCTAATTATTATTTATTCTCTAATTATGCTGTTTGCAAGAGGGAATAGTAACTGGTTTTATCCCTTCACATTCCTCTATAAATACACTTTGCTACCTGTTACTGACCTGCCTAAGGCTGTTCTATGGCATGCAGGGTGTAGTGAATCAATTCACGGATCAGAATAGTTCCACTTCTGGGACTCACTGCCAAGATCCATTGGCTTCAGCTGAAGTCTGAAGATAATGACTGCACCGTTATCCCACATCTCATCTTGTCTTCCTGAAATATCGCGTTCCTGGCCCCATTAACTCCACTGTTGCAGTGGGACCATACAGATTAGATGGTTATGTCATCTTTATCCTACTTAGGGAAAAACTTAATGCCTGTGCTAGGGGCTCAACAGCATGTATAGTCCAATTACAAATACCATAAAGTGAATTTTCTACACAAACTGTGAATTATCCAATACCCAACCCATTTCTGCATGTGACTGAGCAGACCCCAATTGCTTAAAACACAACTCTAGGCAAGTAAAAATTATGAAAGACATAAATATACCCATCAAATGGTTGTCAAGGGTCAAGTCTATGGATCAATTGGATATCTCCAAACCAAATATAATATATATGTAATTATCCTATCTTTGTATTAAACCAATTGAATACCAGTCAAGGCTGAGAGCTCTCAGAAAAGAAGGGACAGCCATAGAGAATAGACAGGGATAGACAGAGTGGCCACAAAATAAAGAGATATACAATTGCTAAGCAAATATTCCCTCCCAGTCAGTACTTCAAGCAGCTAGCAAGATATGTTAGATGGATCACTGGGTCTCAAGGCCTGGCAGTGTATCGGGGACAAAAAGTGAGCCAAATAAGTTCCAATCCACTTTGCACTCAGAATTTTATCTACTATGACTCTGCTTTTGGTTCTATGCATAAACAGTAAATGTTCTTGATATAGCCACAAAGTCCAAGCCAAAAAGGGGACAACAGTGTGGTTCAGAGGAGGAAAATCAATTGTTGTGAAGGCGTTCTAAACATGTATGTTGGCCCAAATCCACCTTGTATAGGCATCAACCTCCCTCGCACATATAGCTGCTGCTACAAGATATTCATATACATTCTGTTATGAATGGCCAGCACAGATATTCCATGCATATGTTGACCCCACTGCAAGACAGAGATTCTGGATATAATAGCAGTATAGAGATGGTGGCCATTCTTCAATCCATTACTTGGTGCAATGGAAAAACAGAATGGTTGGCTGCTCAAATAGCAATGTGGTGGATGAAATCCATTATTTGATAAAATCCATTACTTGGTACGGAGTGGAAGTTGTCCTCTTTTTTAGGAAATGTGAGGAATGGTATACGTATATTAGATCCAATGTCGATCCTGACTTGGCCGATGACCCGCCTAACCAATTTCGCCGGACCCCCTGGCTGCATCAGAGGCAGTGATCCATCTAACATATCTTGCTAACTGCCTGAAGGACTGACTGGGAGGGAATATTTGCTTAGCAGTTGTATATCTTTTTATTTTGTGGCTACTCTGTCTATCCCTGTCTTTTCTCTATGGCTGTCCCTTCTTTTCTGAGAGCTGTCAGCCTTGATTGGAATTCAATCAGTTTAATATAAAGATAGGATAATTACCTATATGATATTTGGTTTGGAGATATCCAATTGATCCGTACATGTGACCCTTGGCATCCATTTACAGTAATAGGTTTATTTACATGTTTAATATGTCTTGGTTTTAATCAATAAAAGATATTAGTAAGTCAATATCTGTTGGTACTAATTTCTCAATGTTTGATACATGAATTATACTTGGGTCGAGGTGTTGAGCCAAATTCAATTTTTTATGTAAGAATTTTTTGGTAACTAAAAAATGATCCCTTGCAGTGGGGCTGTGCCTATGCTGCAAGGCTTAACCACTTTTACCCCCTTCCTGTCCAGGCCAATTTTCAGCTTTCAGTGCCATCACACTTTGAATGACAATTGCATGGTCATGCAACACTGTACCCATATGAAATGTTTAGCATTTTTTTTGAGACAGATAAAGCTTTATTTTGGTGGTATTTATTCACCACTGGGATTTTTATTTTTTTTTTCTATGTAAATGAAAATGTCCAAAAATTTTGAAAAAAAGTGTTTTTCTTATAAAATTTTGCAAATAAATAATATTTCATCATAAATCTTGGCCAAAATTTATTCTGTAATCTTTTTAGTAAAAAAAAAAAAAAATTCAAATTAGTTTATAACCAAAAATTATAATTTTGAAGCATTTTTTTTTACATTTTTATTTTATTTTTTTTATATTATTATTTAGGGTTTTTTTTTTAACATACTGTCACTCTAGCAGTACAGTGTTACCATGGTGACACTGTACTACTTGTGGGGGTTGATGAAGATTTTTTTTTTTTTTTTTACACTGATTGCCTGATTGCTTTTACACCCATAAAGGCTGCATTCTTGCAGCCATTGAGAACTACTGTGTAAGCTGTGATTGGTCACAGCTTGTCACATGGTACAAGGCTGTTGTGAATAGCCTTGTACTATGTGATCTCTGTGATCATTCACAGATTTCACACATAGTAAGCAATGATGTCAGAAGTGACATCTTGCTTACTACTCTGCATGTGATCACTGATTGGCCAATCAGTGATCACATGATCGTGACCTCGCACAGAGGTGTCCTGAGGACACAGCGGGCACCGGATCGCGGTGCTGCGCACTCCCAGGGAGCATGCACAAGCAGGGGCGGGGAGGCCGTTTATAAACGGCCACCCAACCCTGCACTGCCACCATCGGCCGTTTATATACGGAGGTGGTTAATAGCTCTTTTTGTTTAGGGGAGAAGAGAAATAGTTTTACTTACTTGATCCTCCGCTCCCTCAGCAGATGGAGCTCCCCTATTCTCTGGCGTTTGACTGTTCCTTGGTCTTGATGATGTAAGGATCCTAGACTGCTAGGGCATCGGAGATAACAAGCTGTGGAGGATCAACTAAGTAAAATTAATTTTTTTGTTCCTAGACTTAAACAAGCAATTAGCTCTTGCAGTGCGGGTGCAGCTCCGTTGCAAGGGATAATTGTTTAGTTGCCTGGAGTTGACTTTAACAACACACACATTGTGGAGTGGTATTGTTTTCAAACTTTATGCACTTCACATACTGTATAAGGGCTGTACTGATAGAACTGCAAAAGTGGGCTTAACTTAGATAGGTCATTAAAATTCACATATTGGTGCAGTAACTCTTACTCTATAGTAACTCTTCCTATTCTTCTTTTTCGTTGCAAGTAAATAATGGATTCCAAGCAGAAGCAATGAGCCATCATTGAGTTCTTGACAAAGGACGGGTGCAGGCTATCCAGCATCCACAGCAGGTTACAGAATGTTTGCAGAGATGACACCCTTGGCTAGAGCAATGTGCACAGATGGATGAGAAAGTTTAAAGAAGGGAAACCATCATCGAAGACAGACCAAACAGTGGGAGACCAGCACCTCGACCACTGACATGAACCATCATCGAGTGGAACTCAATGATGGGAAGTTGTTTCTGCTTGGAATCCATTATTTACCTGCAATGAAAAAGAAGCAGAGTTACTATAATGAAATTTGAATTACCCATGTAAGTCTCTGTATCTTCCTGCTTGCTGTATTATTTTAATCATTTATTGTTAACTTCCCATTTATAATACATTTTCTTCTAGTATGGAGCCTCTTTCACTGGTTACTAACTCTTTATGGGATCACTTTCTTGCATTGTACATTAACTGTTTAATGCCCACTTCCCATTCAGTGTAAATTAAACCTTTCCAGACACTTCTGCAGTTCACATTTAGTGTACATTAATTATACACTTTACATTCACTATACATAATGCTTCACACTCCTGTACATTGTGTACTCTGCACTAACTGGATTTATAGACTTTGCTTTACAATGTATATATTTATACTGCTTAGTTGTATACATTGTGCTGTACAATATACACTCCAAACTGCTCAGCTGTATACATAGTGCTGTAAATTATAAATGCCATATTGCTCAACAGTATACATTGTGCTGCACATTATACAGTCCACACTGGTCAGTTGTATACATGGTTATTAACATTTTACGCTCTATGCTGCTGAACTATGTACAGGGTGTTTGGCTCTATACCTTGCACTTAACTGCCTTCTCAAATGAAAATTTCACAATGATAGTCCTACAGTCTGCCACCAATGTTTGCCAAGGTCTTTACATCTGGTGGTGATTTCTGCTAGCGATTATTTTTAATTGGATCCAGAGAACTAGTCTGACTGCCTGGTGAGGTCCATATGTTTTTTCTTCTGAGAAGCAATATTGGGCATGGTGGTCATATGGGTTTGCTTTTTCTTCCTCTGTTTACAAACTTTTAAAGTGTGAGAGGGTAAATGTGATTGACAATTTTCATATATAGCTGGTACCTAGCTAGCATCTGATGGGACAGGTTTCACACTTTCTTATGCAGGCTTATTGATAATATTCATCCTAAACTAGAAATGTACAGACTTATCTATATAAGATTTTAGTAAATAAGAACTTAGCATAACTTTCTCTAAGGATGACTCTAGGCCCTGGAAGTTGGCAGTTAGGTGTAGCCTAATTTTTGATAGCTGCTGATCTGCAGACTATCTGAAGAGATGTTATGCACTCTGGGGTTAATTTACTAAAGGCAAATATATGCCTTTAGTAAATCCAACCCAAAGGTTCTAAAGGATGCTAAAATACATTTTAGATCCTGTAGTGAAGGTTCACGTTTCTCCAGGTCATGGTAGAGCTACTAGTAGTCAGTCACATTTAAATGGACTTCTTCTGTAATCTTGAAAATGTTTCATATCTTCTCCCAGCCACCTTCTTGGTTCCAATGAAAGTCAGGAAGATACCCCATCATTTATATA